CTGTTTTGAAACAAAAGTAATTATATCTATATTCAAATATTCGTTTTATTAGCAATTTAAAATTAAAATCTTGTGCAACGTGCGAGGTATAAACCTAGTTATCCTAATTATACAAGACCAATAGTATAAATGTTAAAACGTTTTTTTTTCAACAAGTTTTTCATTAATTTAAACGATCAGAGTACAAAAGGAGGGAATTAAGCATCTTCCATCATTAATACAACATAATTGAAATGCGATAAAACATAAAGCATATAGATCATCGTAGAAGATGGACAGCGGATCCAAGACATGTCTCGGATGCGTCAAGAGGATCTTCGCGGCAAGGCCGGAGAGTTTCAGGGTAGTCACTTTACATTGTGACTTTGAAGAAGCCGGCATAATGCTCGGAGATTCGACCACTCTCAAAGAGATGGAAGAAAGTGGAATTGGACTCTTCCACCGGGAGTAAATTACAAGGTTTGAGAACCCAGAAAACTTGTGTCTTTTCACAATATAAGAGATATAATCACTAAAAACTACAGGATTTGAGAATCCAGAAAACTTTGGCCCTCTCACAATATAAAGGGTATATGATTCAAAAGATCTCTTCCCGCAAGGGAAGGAAGGCGATATCATGTTTCTTTTGGTAAATTCAGAAGCAGATTCGGATAATGGGCCATGACCTTCTTGTACATAAATCGTCCTAATCCATTGTAAACCCCTAACGAGGCTCATAGAAACAACTAATAAACCAGACTTCTTGAAAGGCTCATACCCATGTTGGGCCAATAGTGAATCCAAAAAATTGGGCCAAAGGAGGCCCAACAAACTAAATGCTTTGATTCGGCCCACCTCCCACACAAATCTTGTTCTGGTGTTGTACATTATCGGAACTGACGAGACAGACCTTCTGGTTAGCCGACATGTATTCACCGGAGACGAGAACACGGTGAAGAGCTTCTCTAAGAGAAAATTCCGGGCTAGACCTAGATTAATGCAAATGCAGAGGAGGTTGAAAATTTGACCTTTTACGGTAGGAATTCGATTGCTCGGATTACCGCTGGAAGAAATAGGCCGTACGAGGGTGGCGGCGGCGACTGTATTTCGGGTTTCATATGGATTGATAACCGAGGAGCGGAAGTAGGAAAAAGCATACGAGCGGAGCAAGTTTACAAGAGCTAATCCTTCGGCTATGTCCGAGATGAAGGGCCGTGAGCCACGATAGATATAAATACGAGATCTCAACACTACACGATGGTGGTGAGCGGCGGATGAACTCAGTGACAGGGATGAGCCGTGACCAGTAGATCTACGGTTTTGATCGAGTAGATCCGCACCATGGAAACACGAATCAAACACTGAAGAATAGGTGAACATAATCGACAAGACCAGTGAGTAGAGAGGAAGAAACACAGTCCGACGCTGGCGAGCCCAGAGCTCCACCGGCGCCGGAAAAAGTTGAAGCTTTTATTGCCTCGATAATTGTGCTAGAAAGAGTTGCGGCTAAATGATATTGTTACACGGCTAAATGATATTGTTACAAACGTTAAAAACGTTTATTTATCCTTTTTGTTTTATATATACACGCAACACCTCAAGAAATGGTCTGATTATTCTCCTAAT